GTGTGTGTGTGTGTGTGTGTGTGTGTGTGTGTGTGTGTGTGTGTGTGTGTGTGTGTGTGAAAGAAAATAAGTAAAGTGTCTTTTTCCTGACTTTGTTCAGGGCCCCAAAGGAGAGTCTGTTCTTGGGCCTCCTGGTCAACCAGGGATGCCAGGCCCACCTGGGAATCCAGGCTATGGTAGACCAGGTTCTGTTGGTCCTCCTGGGCCACCGGGTCCTCCAGGGACACCTGGGTTCCTCTCTGGATATGGTTCAGGTACAAGTCTTTCAGCGTGCACCAATAGAGCAATGACTAACACAATGTTAGTGCAGTTTAGATGAATGAAGCGCTTCTGAATTGCACTGATTTTTCTTCTTGTGGCAGCTCTGAGCATTGCTGGCCCCCCTGGTCCACCTGGACCACCTGGGTCTCCAGGTGCTTCCAGTAACTCAGCAACTGTAAGTGAATTTCCTGTTATTGTAAAAGTGGAGGAACTACATAATAATAAAAATCACCAGTAAAACAAGTTTAAAACTTATCCTGATAATAAGAGAAACGTAAATTATGCCAAAATGTGTTATTTACAATTTCAGTTGAAAACTTTTTCCACTCGGGAGAGTATGATGCAGCAAACCTTGAGGGTTGAAGAGGGAACACTGGCATACGTCAGAGCAACAGGAAGTCTCTTCCTGAAGGTTTCTCAGGGGTGGAAAGAAATACAGGTACTAACACGGWGCAATGGTCAATAACTAGCTAGAATATGCTTTTAATGGGATTTCTTATTACTTATTTAAATATCTACAAAATTCAGTTTGGCACTGACTGTGTCTTTTTACGAGCCAACATCAAGGAAGGAAAAATGAAAGTTTAGCGTAAAAACGGTGAAACATTTAGTGGCTGTGGATCAGCGGGGAGGTGAACCAGCCTCTGCCTGTTTGAAAGAATGATTAATGATTTACTACAGCTCCCATTTATAAAAATCAAGGACCTTATACGCCTGTGTAAAGTGTTTTCACTTTTTTATTTTTTGCATTGGAACATTTTTAAATCACACAATTGGCCCCAAAACTTGATTCGGTCAACGATGTGTTTTAGAACAAAACTGACAATGTTCTTATTGTCATTTATCAACTGCTCTGCACTGTGAAAGCACTGTTATAACTTGGGACATGTTTTTTTTCCCCCTCACAGCTTGGGAATCTGATTTATCTCTCCAGTAACATTTTACAACAAGATGAGGTTATTTATTTATTTATTGATTTATTGATTGATTGATTGATTGATTGATTTTTAGTAAAAGTATTTGTGGAAATGCTGTACGGCTATAATACTCCCCCTGAAACATTTTTTGTTTTATTTCTTTCAGCCTCAAGCTGCAAACCAAGTCAGAGGACAGGCGGTGCAAAGAATACGTTCAATAAAACAAAGAGTATGTTTTACAACAAACAAACAAACAAACAAAACACTGAGTAGTGTAAATTATCCTTGGTTAAATCATTTAAACTGGATTAATACCGTTATGTTATCAGTGTGAAATAGTTCTGTCAAACTTTATTAATAAACCTGAATGAGGTTTATGAGGCTGTTTTAGCACAAAACCGTGAGCTAACCTCAATGTTATGTTTCCTCTTGGTGAAGCTGAACCTGGTGGCCTTAAATCAGCCACATTCAGGAAACATGTTGGGGCTCAACAGAGCTGACAGGATGTGTTACGAGCAGGCCAAGGCCATGGGTTTGGCTCCCAACTATCGCGCCTTCATTTCAACCAACAGGCAAGACCTGAAGAATGTCGTCTACCCTGCTTTTCGAGAAAATCTGCCAGTTACCAATTTAAGGGTGAGCATGTCATTCAGCTTTACCTAGATGTTTAAGTAATTGACTTTGGTGTTTTTCTCTAATGTTTGTAACCCTATATTTTCTCTAAGGGGGATGTGCTGTTTTTAAACTGGCGATCGATATTCAGAGGTGACAGCGGGACAATCAACACCAGGATACCTATCTTCTCCTTCGATGGCCGAGATGTTTCAGCTGATTCCTTTTGGTTTGTGAACTCCTGCTTTCCTACTTTTGGTGTGTCTGTTCGTGTACTGATAATTTTGATTTTATCCTCCACCAGGCCTAGGAAAAGCATCTGGCACGGTTCAGGTAACAGAGGCGTCAGGCTCTTGGACAAACACTGCGAGACGTGGCAGGCAGACGACATCTCTGTCATGGGCCAGTCGTCCAGTCTGACCTCAGGTCTGCTCCTGGGTCAGGAGACACGAAGCTGCTCCAACGAATACATCGTTCTTTGTATTGAGACCCATAAAACGTATTAACTCACGCCCAGCACCACTCCAGCAACAAACCAAACCAAATCTTAAAACCAAGAATCTTTAGACTCCAGGGAAAGATGATAGGATGTGCAGTTCTACACATCCTTGGTGCTACTTGTGGTATTGAGGGGTGGGGGTGGGGGGTAAAACTAACCGGACTCTCTAATTTTATTATTTTTCATAAAAGATAATTCTTGGCTTTTTATATTATTTATAAGATAATCTCTCAAGAGAAGTATAGCTTGATGCAATCCTCTGCAACAAGAGAAAAACAAACGTTTGGATGGATGTAAAGAAACTCAACATGGTGACACATGGTAAAGTAAAACAGATTTTGTTGGGTTTAYTTTGAGCAGTATGAAGAATGTGGAAATTAAATGATGCAGCACATTGCAAAAAATTGCTTCAGCTGTAAAGAGATATATATTTTTATTTATAAAGAACAAAATAAAAATGATCACAGAGGGCTTTTTTTCTGCAGTCATGAGAGAATGTTGAAAATAAGACCATCCATTTCAAAAGACTGTTAGTAGCAACTGAGATTAGCTAAATTTTAAATTTATCATGAAATGTGGCCTTTCAGAGACTGTTGAGGCTGACATGTTTGGGGATAGCTTTTAAATGGTTGTCTTTGAAGTTTTTTTAGCATTTGTATACATTGCACAAGATAAAATGTCTCATTTAAATGCCAGAATGTTTCAAAATTCATTGTTCCTCATCCAACAACCACAAGACTGAACAACCCGTGATGCCACCAAAATAATTTTTTGATGCACTGTATTTTTGTTTTATTTTTCTGTTTCAGCATTKTTAAAGTGTTTGTATTTTAGCTATTTGTACATTTTGATGTCCCTCCTCATTCTCTTTCTCGCTATAGGCTTATTTAATTTAAATTCAGTGATTTATTTATACTGTCACAGCACATAACATGACACCAGATGATAAAATCTAAGAATGTAATTTATCATTTATTTGCCTCTTTTCACTGTTTGCCTTCTTCTTTTCTTTTTCTTTCTTTCTTTTTTTTGTACATTGTTCTGTTTTAGGGCTAATTTTGGAATTTTACTTTGAATGTCAGCAGAAGCTAAAATAAAGTTTCACCAGGGGTAAAAGCAACAACAGTTCAAGTATTCAAACTTATGTCTGAAAGAAAAATAAATAAATAAAGAAAAAAAAGTGCAAAAGTGAGAGTGCATGTTTTACATACAACTTTGTGCTTTCTTGAATAAAGGTTTCCCTTTGGTCAGTGTATCTTTTGGTCATTGGACTTTTTATTTTAGAAACGGGTAATAAAAAACAAGAATTGAGTGGATATTTGATTTTTGTTTTAAAATACTGAAATTAAAATTAAAACACGAAGCGTGTCTCATTCTTAGTGTCAAAAAG